ACCCAACCCGCACAAATTGGCCACAAGTTCTTTCGCCTGCCGGCCCGGCTTCGAGGCGAGTTCTGATTGGTCGGAAGTCTGGATCCAACAGTTAATCATGACCCAGTATTCGCTGTTTGCCAATGGCTCATCCAGAAGGCGTCAGAATTTCCAGAATGTTGTCGCGGCACACATTCTGTATACGACGCGCTGTTTAAGTATCCTCGACCTGGTTTTGGACGTCATTATGCGCTGTGCACCTTCGGTGGTTGTTTTTGTAGGGGATGGTAGTTTGGGAGGATGAGAATGGGAAATAAGCTTTTCAAAATGTAGGTTCTACACAGTGACTTTTGAGTCAAGTGTTCAAGATATATATATATATATATATATATATATATATATATATATATATAGGTAGGTTGGTAGGTAGGTAAACATCTTATATGTGTATAGTTTGTCTACATAAGTACACAAACAGCTGGTCCGTGGATTGTCAGTTCCGTTCTCCATCTGTTTCGTCTGGAACATCGCAGTATTTTTAGTCAGCAAAGACTTGGCAGTTGATCTACACTGATAGCAGACATTTATTGTGCTCGCATTCAATGTTTCTACTTGAATTTTCGAAGAGATGACAACTTCTTTCCTTTGTGTTTAGGAATTCACAAATGAGGATTCTGTGAAACTGTCAGCATAATATGTATCCTTTAATCGACAACAGTTGCAGGATAGTTTGTGTCGCCAAGGCACCCCGAGGTGTATCTGTCAGCCAAAACACGAAACCGTTATTCAAACGAATTCGCGGACCTATTTCCTGTTAGCTGGCGAAAGGCTTCGTGAGATGAGTGAACATTTCTGTCTGTGTTCATCCCGAAGATGCAGGACATTGTGTGAATATTACCACACTTAAAATCATTAAAATGATCATAACTAACGCGGGCGAGGGGGACAAGCGAACGGATGTTGAGTACAACGAAAGCTTTCGCCATCCACGTCAATATCTGCTTACCAGAATTCTGGATCCAGAAACATTTTTTTAGACGCCGCTCGTGCCATGACTAAACCACATCGATACAATCACATACGGTCAGAAAACTGGCATAGTCAAACTCATTTGCATCCGAGATTTCGCCATTTTGCCAGCCCTTACGTAATTTCATAAACTATAATTTTGGTCGTATATCTTGAGAAAACGTAATGGTCGACCGATCGGCCTGAAGAAATACCATCCGACCACTATTCAGCTGCGGGGCTATCCGTTCTCATCTAAACGGCAAAGCAATGGACTTCCTCCAGAAGGCACTGAACCCAATGAAAACTGATAATGACAATATCGACAAGGTGTGGAATAATCAACGCCAATCTTCATGCTAATGTCATCATTTCTAGGCCGGCTGATAACTCTCTGTGTTCACCCATCGGTCCCATTCAATTGGGTTCAAATCGGCTTCAGTGGCTTGCACTACTGTCGGCTTCACACAAAGCGCTTTTGGTTCACCTACTACGCCTAGATGTCCCGTAGATCAACTTCCACTGACTAGCTCATCCGTCTCGAAAGCCGGCCAGCCAGTCACAAGAACGTTGAAAAACGCTCACTGCATGACGCTAGACAATCCATAGTTTGCCTTCCCTACCTTGAGATCCAAGGTACGGCACTCTCAGCTGTTAGGTAACAAACTACGAACTAATTAAATAGGCACTTTCAACTGGAGTTGAGAAATAATTCAAAAGTTGACTGGAGTGAAACCTACTGGTTACTCAACCGTGGCATTCCTTCTGAACCTTGCCGAAGCAACAATATGCCGCTCGTGCCTGTTCCTGGCACGTTGCTTTGTGCTTCCTGATGCAGCAGTGACGGTACCGCACGGGCAGAATCTTACCACTTATCTTTCGTTTACCATGTGTGTATTGGCAATGACTTTTACAAATATGGCTACAGGTCCTAATGTTGTGATCGTTACTGCAGTTACTACAGTTTATGTTCACTAAATGAGAATTGTTTTCACTCGAGAGTTTATTAGAAAGTCGAACTGTTGCGTAGAAAGTCAAAAAAAGTCTGCACCGCTCATTTGTTTTCTAATCGACGATTCACGTAGGTCAAGCTGCGGTATTCTTGAGAAATTCCAATGAAGCCAGGTGAATTCATAACACATTACAACGGGTCGCTGAATGTACTTCTGGAGCGTGCTGTTTTTTGGAGGAACTCGTCAAGGAGGCATCCGAATTCAATGTGTTGTCTGGAGAGTCAACATTAGCATCTAATGCATACATTTAGTAGTCCCCATCGTAACGGTTTGGCCTAGGAAGTTTGTTTGTTTTTAGACACATGACCCTGCTCTAGAATGAGTTCGCTTTGAATAAATGAAACAACGAAAGCAAACACTGAGCTAGATTTCAACTATTCACTTGTGCTAAATCTTTTTCATACATTCCTTTCTGACCCAAACACACAGGAAATGCGGAACAGAATAAATAAAGTTCAGGTTAAAGCCATCTTTTCTGACAGTTGGGAAGGCTAGATAAGACGCCCACTATCTAAAGAGTGTCATAACTGGGTTTGTGTTGGTGAAGCATACTGGAAAACTTATAAGCCCTTTCTCGATTTCACCATGTTAGTCGCATGTCTGGTAATACAGGTGAAAAGAAGTAGACCTTCGCTGAACAATTACGGACTACTGGACAGG